TTTGAAATTTTAATACACCATCGCACTTTTGCCTTCATTTTACGATTATTCGGTTTGGCGACCGTCAATTTTTACGGCTATTTTGGCCATACGTATAATGTACATTCATGTCGTCGATACTGACGAGGAGGATTGCGTTGGCTCGGGTTGTATTACTTAGTGAATATGGCCCAGGAGCACCACTCCAGTTCAGTAGTTGGAGGTTCGATGAGTGGTGCTAAGGCTTTCAAGAGGTTAAATCCGCCATTTAGTGGCTTTGCAAGGCACAAATGTTTGCTGGAAAAAGGTGAATACGGCGAGGCTGTCATTGACATGTCGACATAACTTGTAAGCGCGACGTACTGTCAATCTGGCTCCTGGTGCGTACTCCCGGTTAGCAAGTTTGTGGCAGTGTTTACCGAAGCGCCGGGGCGTGGTTGTTGGTGCCAATTCAGCGCCACCTATTAGTAGTGTGACGTGGGGGAAACACCGGACGCGCAAGCTTCATCAAGCTTTCAATTCCTGTGGCACGCCTCTATATACTTGTCGACCTGGGTTAAGAAGTTATTATACAATGACAAGCCATTAACCTCAACTACTCGGCACTTGTTAGGGCACTTGTTAGCTCAAACAGGGACACAGCTCCAAAGCTGGAGTTCATAGCATAGAGTTGTCTCCAAATCCACTCGGGAGAAGTTGGGGACTGATTGGGGGTGGGTAACGGACCGCTCACGTGAGAATTTCCGCTTACCGATCAATGGCTAGTCCGCTATAGGTCCTATAACAACTTATACACATCCAAGGGTGATATCTTGGAGGAAATTCTCTTGTTGCATAGAGTAGCCTACTTACTTGGCTTACATAAAAGTCCGACGGAGGTTGCATTGTCCTGTGCCACCGGGGGGAGCCCCACTTCTGTGACATCGGACGAGCCGGCTGCCCCGCCTGGCTACGTAGGAACCTCGGTCGGCCCTAGCTGTGATTAGCTAAGTCTCCGGAGCTGAATATATAAGAGAAACTGGTTTCGGCCGAACTTTTGTCTCCCTGAGACCATTGATCTTCTAGCAACTGCTGATCTTGATCCCATTGACTCGTTTCGATACCAAGCTGTGTCTTATCGCCTAGAGCACACGCCACCACTCCAGGCCTTCTATCAGCATAGGCCCTAGAGGAGGATATCAGAAAGACATCTCCTTCTACAGAATAACGTTGATACAAGCTTTGCCATAATGGCAGCAGCGTCACAAGCAAAGGCCCTCGTGCCGGATGACCCTAGCGTCCAGCACCTCGACGCCAAGATCGGGCCTTACAACTACCACTACATGCTCTCCTCCCCCCCTTCGCCTGTCGCCACTGTCCTCCTGGTGCACGGCTGGCCAGACCTGGGAATGGCCTGGCGGTACCAGGTCCCATTCCTCACCTCTCTGGGCCTGCGGGTCATTGTGCCGGATATGCTGGGTTATGGACGCACATCGGCGCCCGCCGACTTCGAGGAGTACTCGCTCAAGAAGCTGAGCGGGCACCTCGCGCAATTGGTTGAGCAGGTCGTGGGCAAGGGGGAGAAGGTCATCCTGGGCGGCCACGACTGGGGCGCCGCGCTGGTCTGGCGCCTGGCCATGTGGCACCCGGAGATCACGATGGCCGTCTTCAGCCTCAACGTGCCGTACACGGCGCCGCACAAGCAGTACGCCGACCTGGAGACGGTGGCCAAGCTCGTGCCCAGCTTCCGCTACCAGCTGCAGCTCGCCAGCCCCGAGACGGAGCGCATCGTGGCCGCCAAGCCCGAGCGCCTGCGCCAGTTCATCAACACCCTGTACGGCGGCGCCACGCCCGAGGGCCAGTCCGCGTTCAGCACGGCGGAGGGCCTGCTCGAGGACCGCATCGACCAGGTCGGCCCGGCCAAGCTGATGAGCGCCGAGATGGTCGACTTCTACGTCCGGGAGTACAGCCGCAACGGCCTGCACGGCCCCACCAACTGGTACCGGACACGCAAGCCCAACTTTGAGGAGGAGAAGCCGCTGGCGGACATCGAGGGCGGCTACAAGTTCAAGGTGCCGGCGATGGTGGTCATGGGCGAGAAGGACATTGCGCTGCCGCCGAAGCTGGCCGACGGCATGGAGGTGCACTTTGAGAACGGGCTGCGGAAGGAGGTCGCAAAGGGGGTCGGACACTGGGCCATGTGGCAGGACCCCGAGGCCATCAACAAGTACATTGGGGAGTTTCTTGGGAGCGTCCTTGGTGACAAGATCAAGGGCAAATTGTAAAGTTGGGGGGTTTGCGGTCACGAGTCACGAAATCTTAAGCGCTGGTGGTGAACGGCCAGGGTGCGAATGAAAAGACAGCGTACGATGCATGTAACTCACTTACACCACTCATTAAATGAGAGCCATCGTCGGGGTTTCCACTTCGATTGGTGTCTGCCCCCTGTGACTTTTGCGCTTAACAAACAAACTTGGCTTGGGCTTGGTGAAACGGCTGTAATGGCATGACTTGTCTTCTCTCAGCCTCGAACTCCATTGAGTCTTGCCACTGTTTGAGCTCGCCAATCTCAAAAAAAGCGCTGCCACGCCGTCGAACAGAATACCCGGGCCCAGCGACCAACACACGAGGCAAGCTCGTATCGTAGTGGAGGGCCATTGGAGGGTCATGTTGCTGAGCCCAAAGGCAGTCGTCAGCGCAAGTGGCTGGTGGCACAGCGGGAAAAAAAAAGTTATGGCAAAGAGCTAGGCTTGGACAGGCAAAGGCGACTGCCGGGCCCAGCAGTGGCAGAGTGGGTGCTGTGGCTGGGGTCCATAGTGGAGGAGCCGTCATTTCCGGCTCGGCTGCTAGCGCACACTTGGACACGGGGTTCAAAATAGTATCAAGAAAACGGAACACGCAACTTACCTTAGTCAAGGCTACATTGCGGCGCGCGCGCGCAGAGAAACAGTCCGCGATGCTGCCGTGATTGATCCGCTGGCGAGGAAATGGTGTCTGCGCATTGGGCAAACGGCGCGCTCGATGCATTGGACTTACCTTGTGTTGCTGGTGCTTGGCTCGGACGAAGGAATCTTGAAACGTATTGGCATCCATTCCGACTCATCTGAACTAAGAGGCGGCCGGGCAAATCAGGAGTTGAGCCTCAATCAGGGGTCGATTTCAGGGGGGAAGCTTGGAGGAGCAGTGCGTTGTACGTTGTCCTCCTGTCGGGGCCCAGTGGGTGTGAAAGGCTCAAGGGAGCTGACGGGTCGTGGCCAGCCCCAGCCTAAAGCCTTTCAGTACGGGTGGTACCTAGGGGGAAGCTTTAGCGACCCACTCACAGCACCGTGTGCCACCCGTGTCCAACCCACCCGTCCGCTATTTTTACTGGCTGCCGATGCCTGCAGAGGAGGCTGTGCACTCCAGTGTTTCTTGACGTGGATACGTAACGCAAGTCAACGGCCCCGACGAGCGACCCAAGAGCAAGACCCAAGCCAGCAAGCAGCCGACGTGCGTACCAGGTTGCCAGGCACGCCGATTTGCTGCAAGTTGCAGTGCAGTTCAGTTGCTGCGGCCAGGATTTCGACCTCGATCCATCATCCATCAACCAGCCCTCGCCGCCCTCGCCGAGCGCCGACAACGACGACGACGACGCAGACGCAGACGCAGACGACTTTCGACGCTGCAATAGGAGAAGCAGCCGGCGTCTATCCATCCATTCGACATCACCCTGTGCGCCCTTGTCCACTTGCCTTTGTGTGTGTGGTTGCGCCCATTGCCGTAAACCGCATCGCTCGTCCGCTGTAGTAATCCCAGCAGTCCCGGACGACCTGACCCCGACCGCCAGAGCTCCCTGCGCTCGCGAACAAAGACCCAAATACCAGCAAGCCAACTGTGGCTGATGTCCCGCCTGTCTCTTCTTCCCACATCGTAATTACATCCTAATCACATCCTCCTGCACCTTGCCTTCGCAGCGTAAGAGTGTCCTGTCGCCATGTCAGGACGAGCGCCTCCTGGAGGCAGCTCTCGCCAGAATGACGATCTCCTGCTCGACTTGGATGACCAGCCGGGCCACGGCTACAGCGGCGGCCACGGCGGTGGCTACTCGGGCGACGCACCTTCCCGGCCCTCCGTGTCCTACGATGACTTCATCGGCGCAGGCGCTGCCAGCGAGACGACTCACCCCTCCGTCAAGAACCCGCCCACCGGCGCAACAGCCTCGACGCCGCGCCCGCCGTACCTAGGCCAGGCCGACCGCCAGTACAGCCAGACATCAGATCTGAACAACTACCAGCGCTATGCCGACGACTTCGACGACTATCCCGACGACAATCATTCGTACTATCAGAACGGCGGCGACACTTCGGGCCGTGACAACGCGAGGAATCGAAACAGCGTGCTGAGCATGGGCGGCGGCTTCCTGGGACGGGCCAAGAAGGCGATGGGCCTGGGCGAAGGCTACTCAGAGATGGACCTCCCGCTCACCGAGCCCGGCGGCCGGCCGCGCGCCGAATCCAGCGTCGACACCCAGCCGCGCCCGAACAAAAAGTTCGACATAAAGAATTTCAAGTTCGGCTTCGGCCGCGGCAAGCCAGATCCTTCGACACTGGGCCCACGGATAATCCACCTGAACAACCCACCAGCCAACGCGACGGTCAAGTACGCCAGCAATCACGTCTCGACCGCCAAGTACAATGTCGCTACATTCCTACCCAAGTTCCTGCTGGAGCAGTTCTCCAAGTTCGCCAACATTTTCTTCTTGTTCACTGCAGCACTACAGCAGATCCCAAATCTGTCGCCGACCAACAAGTACACTACCATCGGACCCTTGATTGTTGTGTTGATGGTATCGGCTGGCAAGGAGTTGGTGGAGGACTATAGGCGGAAGCAGGCGGACAGCGCATTGAACAACTCCAAGGCCAGAGTCCTCCGCGGATCCAACTTTGACGAGATGAAGTGGGTTGATGTTACCGTGGGAGATATCGTCCGTGTCGAATCCGAGGAGCCCTTTCCAGCCGATCTGGTTCTCCTGGCGAGTTCCGAGCCCGAGGGTCTGTGTTACATCGAAACCGCGAACCTGGATGGAGAGACCAACCTCAAGATCAAACAGGCTATCCCCGAGACAGCTAATATGGTTAGCACCTCAGAGCTTAGCCGACTAGGGGGTAGGGTGCGGTCCGAGCAACCGAACAACAGCTTGTACACGTACGAGGCGACGATGACGATGCAGGCTGGCGGCGGCGAGAAAGAACTACCCTTGAACCCCGAGCAGCTGTTGCTTCGTGGTGCCACTTTGCGGAACACGCCCTGGATCCATGGTATAGTTGTCTTCACTGGCCACGAAACCAAGCTTATGCGGAATGCCACGGCGGCCCCTATCAAACGAACCAGAGTCGAACGTCAGCTCAACATTCTGGTTCTGGCCCTCATTGGCCTTCTCCTCGTTCTCAGCGCCATTTGCACCGTCGGTGATCTCGTTTTCCGGTCATCTCGGGGAGGTTCGGTTCCCTACCTTGAATTGGATTCTCTCAGTGGAGTAGGTGTCGTGGTTCAGACCATTTTCAAGGATCTAGTGACGTATTGGGTCCTGTTCTCAGCTTTGGTGCCAATCTCCCTTTTTGTCACGATTGAAATGGTCAAGTATTGGCATGGCATCCTCATTAATGACGATCTGGACATTTATCACGATAAGACAGACACGCCAGCAAATTGCAGGACGTCAAGTTTGGTCGAAGAATTGGGCATGGTTGGTTATGTCTTCTCGGATAAGACAGGAACCCTCACATGCAACGTCATGGAGTTTAAGCAGTGCACTATATCCGGCATTCAGTACGCGGAAGAAGTTCCCGAAGACCGCCGCGCAACTGTGCAAGATGGTGTGGAGGTTGGCATACACGATTTCAAGCGGGTTGCACAGAATCTCCAATCCCACGAAAGCGCCCCGGCTATCCAGCATTTTCTCGCTCTTCTTTCGACATGCCACACTGTGATTCCAGAGCGGGACGAGAAGACTGGCAAAATCAAGTACCAGGCTGCTTCGCCCGACGAAGGCGCTTTGGTTCAGGGAGCTGCGGATCTGGGCTACAAATTTGTCGCCCGTAAGCCGCGTGCCGTTATAATCGAAGTTGACGGCAAACAGTACGAATACGAGCTGTTGGCTGTATGCGAGTTCAACTCGACAAGAAAACGAATGTCCACAATCTATCGATGCCCTGATGGGAAGATCAGATGCTACACCAAAGGAGCTGATACCGTGATTCTCGAGCGCCTCAACGAGAGCAACCCCCATGTCGATGCGACTCTTATCCATCTAGAAGAGTATGCATCGGAAGGTCTGCGAACGCTATGTTTGGCAATGCGAGAGATCCCCGAGAACGAGTTTCAGGAGTGGTATTCTGTTTTCGACAAGGCACAGACGACCGTTAGCGGCAATCGAGCTGAAGAATTGGACAAGGCTGCCGAGTTGATTGAGCATGACTTCTTCCTCTTGGGAGCCACTGCTATCGAGGATAAACTCCAGGACGGCGTGCCTGAGACCATCCACACTCTCCAACAGGCCAACATCAAAGTTTGGGTCCTCACTGGCGATCGACAAGAGACGGCTATCAACATTGGCATGAGTTCCAAGCTCCTTAGCGAGGATATGACCTTGCTTATTGTTAACGAAGAAACGCCCGCCGCCACGCGCGATAACATTCTGAAGAAACTTGAGGCCATCCACAACAATGCTGAGGGTTCCATCGAGCTGGATACCCTGGCTCTGGTAATCGATGGCAAGTCTCTAGGGTACGCGCTTGAGAAGGACTTGGAGAAGCACTTCTACGATCTTGCAGTCATGTGCAAAGCTGTCATCTGCTGTCGTGTCTCGCCCCTGCAGAAGTCCCTGGTCGTCAAGTTGGTGAAGAAATACACGAGCGAGGTAACGCTCGCCATCGGTGATGGAGCGAACGATGTCTCCATGATTCAGGCGGCCCACATTGGTGTCGGTATCAGTGGTATGGAGGGTCTGCAGGCTGCACGAAGCGCCGATGTGTCGATCGCCCAGTTCAGATTCCTTCGAAAACTTACACTTGTTCACGGCGCCTGGAGTTATCAGCGCATTAGCAGAGCAATTCTGTTCTCATTCTACAAAAACATTACGCTGTACATGACGCAGTTCTGGGTAAGTCATCATCTCTATCTGCCGAGATGTGTACTGGTATGCTGACATTTCCCGTAGTACACTTTCCAGAACGTCTTTTCTGGTGAGGTCATCTACGAATCGTGGACCTTGTCCTTTTACAACGTCTTCTACACGGTCCTGCCTCCGTTGGCTATTGGTATCCTGGACCAATTCATCTCGGCACGTCTACTCGATCGGTACCCTCAGCTTTATGCCATCGGACAGGAGAACCAATTTTTCAAGGTTCGGGTCTTCGCCAACTGGATCATCAACGCCTTCTACCACTCCCTGGTCCTGTACATTGGCAGCGAGCTGATCTGGTATGGCGATATCATCCTGAATGATGGTACAACTGCAGGTCATTGGGTCTGGGGCACTGCCTTGTACGGTGCTGTCCTTGCCACAGTGCTCGGAAAAGCCAGTCTGATTACGAACAACTGGACCAAGTACCACGTCATCTCCATTCCTGGCAGCATGGCCATCTGGATCGTCTTCGTGGCCATTTACGCTTATGTCGCCCCCAAGCTGGGTTTCTCGACCGAATATGATGGCCTCGTTCCCAAGCTGTTCTCATCACCAATATTCTATCTACAAATGATTGTTCTGCCGTGCTTATGTCTGCTGCGAGACTTCTCGTGGAAGTACGCAAAGCGCATGTACAGGCCGCAGACGTACCACCACATCCAAGAAATCCAAAAGTACAACATTCAAGATTACAGACCGAGGTATGTTCTGGCTCGCAAAGCTATTCGTCTCCTCCCTCATTGTAGGCATCTTGCTAATCTCTCCTCGCAGAATGGAACAATTCCAAAAAGCCATTCGCAAAGTCCGACAAGTGCAGCGCATGCGCAAACAGCGCGGGTACGCCTTTTCCCAGGCAGACGAGAGTCAAACACGCGTTATCAATGCGTACGATACCACGAGACATCGTGGCAGGTATGGAGAGATGCCCATGGCGTCAGAGGGGTCATGATCTTGTGTCTCATGTACGGAGTATGAGAGCCCTTTGTATGAGTTATACCGGTCCCTTTGGGCCGTGTTTTATAGTTTTACGATTAGATGAGCCTGCCATTGCGGCATGGGGATAGGTGAATTGATATTTTGCCCTCGGGGCCAGTTTCAAAGACCATTTGGCGGCCGGCCGATGTCTACAGAATGAGTGTATTTGTCCTTGTTGTAAGCCTCAATTTTGAGTTAGTCTACGTTCCAACTGCCGTCGGCCAACGTTGAGGCTCCACAGGCGGCGCCAAGACCCGATTCCTTACATAGATCCATCGCGGCCGCTCGTCATTTGAACGGACGGTGCATAGTCCCGTTGGCTGGCCGTACGAACGGTGCCTTATCTTCCAGGTAGGCCGCCACGCAGCCTGTGGAACTTAGGCTGAAGCGGCGGCATCCGCTCTCGCCTGACAATTAAGTCAAGCTACCGCATTGGGATGTTTTCGTGCTTACGGTACTGGGGACCCGGCGGGTGTCACATCAGATCTACCTCTACCCAGCTAGTGGGTGGGTTGCGTTAGCAGCGGCCGGTATCCCGCATCCCAACTTCCTCCGAGACCCCGAAGGTCCCCTATTTTACCGGGTCCGTTGCATTTAATTGCCAAGGAACATACGACGAGGCAGAAAACAACGGGGACCAAGGCGGACGCGGCTCTGTGTACATTTCAACTGTACCGTTACCATCGCCTGTGTTTACTCGTTGCTTATTTGTGGTATCGCGCGTGATTTCGTCGAAAAGGATTTGACTTGTCGCTTTGTTGTTTTCGCCCATACTGCATCCCGCCACGGAAACCCCCGGCCTACAAAGAGCAAGCATGGCGCAGGACCAGGAGCCCTTCCACATCATCATCGCCGGCGGCGGCCTGGTCGGCCTCTCGGCGGCGCACATCTTCGACTCGCTCGCGGCAGAGCTGGCGGCGGTGCCCGGCGCGCGCAAGGTCAAATTCACCGTGCTCGAGGCCCACGATACGGTGACACCGTTCATCGGCTCGCTGCTGCTGCTGTACCCGCCCTCCTTCCGCATCTACGACCAGCTGGGCCTGCTGTCGGCCATTAATGGCGTCGTGGATGACATTGACAAGACCGTCACGTTCACCGCCGAGACTGGCGCGGTGCGGTACGTCGATGAAAGCCTGGCCGAGCTCGTGCAGCGCCGCCACGGCCATCAATTCAAGGTTTTGCACCGGCCGCGGCTTGCCGAATGCCTCTATCACGGCTTGAGCGACGAGGCTAGGGCCAACGTGCTGCTAGGAAAGCGCGTTATGAACGTCAAGACCGACGGTGGTGCTGGTGTTGAGGTTATTTGCCAGGACGGGACAGTAATCAAAGGCGACATTCTGATTGGCGCTGACGGCGTGCGAAGTCGGGTACGGTCCAACATGCAGCGTCTCAAGGCCGCATCAGACGGCAGAGAAGCAAAGGACCAAAAGCCTAGCACAAACGAGAGCCCCTACATCGCCTCGTACCGCCTCCTATTTGGCAACGTCCCCGTGCTGGAGGGCCTGCCGATTGGTGTAAATTGGGAGGGCGCCGGGGACGGCATCTCGACGCAGATCCTGACCGGCAGCAAGCAGGCCTGGTGGGCCCTCTACGAGCAGCTGCCCGAGCCGACCTCCAAGCACTCCAAGTACGACGAGGAGGACAAGGCGCGGGTCATCGCGCGCTGGGGCGACGTGTACATGGCGCCCGGCTACAAGCTCCGCGACGTCCTGGAGCACAACTCGGGCGCCATCGGCCTTATCAACCTCGAGGAGGGCATGGTGGAAGAATGGACCTGGGACCGCGTCGTGCTGGTCGGCGACGCCGTGCGCAAGGTCGAGCCCCACGCCGGCCTAGGCTTCAACCAGGGCCTGACGGACATTGTCACGCTCGCCAACAAGCTGCACGGGCTCCTGCTCGAGAAGCCGGACCCCAGAACGGGAGACCTCGCTGCCGTTTTCGGGGAGTACCAGGCCGAGCGTCACGAGACGCTGCACACCATCGACCGCATGTCGCGGCGCCGCGCCCGCCAGGTCGGCTGGCCCAACGGCGGGTACCGCTGGTTCGCGACCTGGGTGCTGCCGTACGCGCCGCTGGCGCGCGTCGGCCTCGAGTACGTAATGGGGCCGATCATGGCGCGCGCCCCTGTTGCAGCGTGGCTGCGGGAGACGAGCCTGCCCGCACACGAGGTCGAGTACGAGACGTACGGCGCTGCGGACGACGAGAAGAAGCGGGCCCGGACGCGCAAGGCCGTCGCTGTGCGGGCCCAGGGTTCGGGCTCCTACGGCTTGACGCTCGGCACTGCTACCATTCTCCTGGCGGGCCTGACGGCGGTGGGCTTGCGGTACTACCGCAGGATTTGAGACGTTGGATAGAGATAGAGTGGACTGGACTCGACTTGTCGGTTGTTTTTCGTTGTTTGTTGCAAGCGTATGAGTACCTATAGAGCAGTGGTGTAAGGAGACCCCGTGTTCCAGACATTCACCTAAACGGCGCAGGCGCGTGGATGTATTTTCGTTTTCAGATACCAAGCTAGAATTTAGAGAATGTATTGCCGCGTTGTGACCTGAGCTCTTTTCACACCGTTATCTTTCAATATTGGGTCACCTTGGGCCAGAATGAACTTACGTCCGAAAGCTGAATCTCATATTATATTCATTCTGGCATTATGAAGCGCTATATATCTAACTGTGGCCCCTGCAAAACTAATCTAAGACTGCCTTTGCCACATCAGTCACAAAAATCGGTTCGCGTATGGGCCCTTCCGCAAGTTTTGTTTCATGCACAAAACTCCCAGAATATTTACCAACTGTAAACGACCATGTGCTTCATCAAGCCCTAGGTGCAGTAGTAGAATGAATGTGTGTTAAGGCAAGATATGGACGCAAAACTTGCCCTACTATATACTCCGTAGATTTCAAATTCCGGGGAGACGGTCGTGGAGAATAGACAAGAAGGTCGACTGCAGACAGCCAAAGACCTCAACGTGACGAGACACGAGACAATGAGTGGCACTTATCCATGATACTCAATGAGGATCCTGCAAGGTCGGATATGGGACTCGTCATGAAGAGTCATTTTCTACCGGCGCCATACTCTGCTTTAATTTTTCAATTTGACACTAGTAGTCATACGATACTAATCATCAGTTAACAAACAGTGTTCATTATTTAGAGAGAGTCAACAGTTTTTCAAAATTGAGTGGAGAGATATAACTATAGTTTTCAACGAGCGTGGGTGCTGATGTCCTGCATCAGTGCAAATTCGACGTCTGAGTTCCTGTTAAGACAGTCCCCATAATTCTGCCCTATATCCTGCCGAGAAAACTGCCGTCATGGCCTAAGAATGGTCTTTGACCCTTGACATCCGGTCCTAACAGCCCATGATACCTTGAAGTTGCATGAACCCCCGCTGAAACGGTCCCGGACCAAGATCCCCAGTCTGTATGTCCCATAGCTCATACCTTTCACCTGGTCTTGCGGTATATGGCGTAGACCCCATCGATCAGGTACAACATTTGCACCAGCATCAATGATACGCTCTTCATAGCAGACTAAGAACAGATGGTTGATAGTATCGAGGTCAATATACGTCCTCGCCGATCGAATCAAGGAGTGGATATTTTCCACTGATCCCCCTAGACTGAGTGCAAGATTCGGAATCCGGCAGAGTGTACTAGAGACGTTCGACTCTGGGCATAGAATGGTAGGGTCCAGGTACGGAATTGGCTCATCCATGTACATCAAGTCGCCGCGTATGATGATTCTGGAGATCTCGTGTTGTAGAGGCAGGAGCGGTGCTGGCATATGGGGATGGAATATCCACTGAGATGATGGCACTTGGATGCGGAGATCGGGTTCGATATTTTGCTGATGCGAGACGAGCCAGCTGATTCGTGGCCGCCATTCTAGTGTCTTGGATTCCACAAAACGCGTCTCAAGTCGTGAACCACCAGCCCCAGACTGCCGCCGAATGATGCTGCGGAAAATATTGGACATTCTGCGGTGGGACCTGTGTCTGATCGTACTCGCTTCAATATGATTGCTCTGTGGTCCGGATAACCTAGGCTGTCTTTGAATGAAGAATGATGGTGTGGCACAGCCCTAGGTGTTTACAGATATATTCCACCAGAACGACAATTCAAAGTGGATCCAATAATCTGAGAAACGGCGAGACCAGCTTAGCCTTGAAAGATCGAATTGAAAGCAATAATAAAATAAGTCAGGGTTAAACGAACGTTGAGAAGGGCTGAGGCTGTAAGCAAAATATGAAGACCTTGCTAAGATAGCCTTTTGATTAAATACATATGTCCCAATCGAAGAGCCTATAAGAAATCCGGCAGTATGTGGTGCCTGATCTCCAACATCATTCGTCCAGAGGGATATACTTTCTCCGTTGACATGCATTACAGCCACATCGCCCAGGTGGGGTAGCATTGAGCCGCTTAAGCCGGCCATACCAGCCTTGCAGTACTCAAACAATGTCTGTGCATGAGCCATTCCACACGCATATGCGCAATTGGCCAACGCAAGACATGGTTATTGGCCGAACTCACTATGCTTGTAAGGCCGCTTCGGCGGCCAGCGCAGGCAACAATATCGCCAGAAACAGGCTTGATTGGCCTGGAGTGTATCTTCTGGTGCAGGATAGCATTATCAACAATGGTGGAGGCTGGTCCAGTAGAAGCAACGAGTTTCTCCGTGGCACTGAATTTAGAAACGAGTGTCGTCCTACACATGTTGACATTCACGGTTTCTGGATAACCCAGAACTAATTTTGTGAATCAATACTAATCTATCGAAAACAAAATTGTGGCGGCTCAACTCGGTGTATGAAAACAAAGCCATGTGTGGGAACACTTGCCATTGATACCAATTGTAGTAGTCACGCATCTTGACTCCGTTGTTATTTATCGACCACTAAATCCATTGCAAGTACCACTTGCGGCTGTGGGGGAGAATAAATACACCGGTCGACATGTGCTCCATGCTCTGCCATCAGATAAAGATACGAGGAGTGATCTACTCATGCCTCAAGCCATCCCACCACATGAACTGAGACTAGTCCTACCCCTTAGTCATTAGGCACCGTTGCTTGATGAGCCCAACATGCGGCCCGGTTTGACAGCGTGCCATCACTGGTCGTGAAAGATGTTTGCCTGCGTGGGTACTCGTCAAGAAAGAAGGTCCACACAGCCACGATGAGTATGGGCCGACCATAAATCAAGCATTGAAGCGAAATACTATTTTCGTAGATAAAATGAAACCTCCTCAGGGCGGCGACTGCCTACATGACGGGCGGTGAGATAGAGTGTGTAGACATCTGAGTATCTATGGCGATCATCTAAAGCTGATCATGCACCAGCAGCAGATTTGATAAATGCAGCGGCTTCACTAACATCCGAGCCATATCCCAAGTGACCAGAGGTGCTCTTAGATGTACAACCCCCTGTTCCGGCGCAGCTGCCCACTGAACCACACACGGCGTCACCCTGGAACATATTAGCAGTTATAGTTGGGACATTTTTTCAGATACGTACAGGTGCGCAGAAAGTGTGGAACTTCGCAGTATCAATGCCGCTGGGCAGCTGGGTCTTGAACGGGTCGCCAAAGGTGACTGCTGCGCCGACGGTCGAGACCTGACTTCCCAGCAGCTTGGCACTGTTGTGTACAACCATAGCGCCTTGGCTGTAGCCAGTTAGGATCAGCTTGGTCTCCGGGCAACTGCTGAGAGCCTGCTGAGCCTGCTTGGTCATCGCCTGGGAGCCAGGACCGGAGCCGGTCGACTCAGCCCAGATACCGGCTGCGTCAGCGGCATACGAGACACCCTGTTGATAGGTAAGTAAGTCTAATGTTAGGGCCTGTCTGGACTCCACGTACGACTGTGGTCACCTGGTCAGCGCCCAGCGCCGATTCGACAGACTTCTGCAGCCCGGGTCCAACAACGTAGCCAAGAGTTCCAGTCTCGGTAGTGCCACGAGCGAACAATACGGTGTACGCCCTGCAAGAAGTGGAGCCGGTCTGCGGCATGGGTGTTGCGGCTGCAAGAGCAGCCAAAAGAGCGGAGGATAGAATGGTGGACTTCATCTTGTCGTGTTTAAGAGTGATGGAAGAAGCTTGGTAAGAAGAAAACGAACGACCGGAGTTGGTTTGATTGGAATGAAGGAATGGATAGAAGCTGGCTTGTCAACAACGCAGAAGTCTTAACTTGAAGAGATGCTGGTGTCTTATACTACGCCGTGGGCCATGGTCTTATGGTGACGAACTTGCTTTCCTCGACTGTTCTACCGAGGAGCAGCCCAAGTTGCGAGGATTAAGTGCTTTTGGGAGGGAGCTAGTTCGGGGGTTTGGCTAGTCTTGACAATCCAGGGTGTTCAGTGGAGAAATCCGGTGGCCCGTACTCAGTCTAGTGTCACAGCCTACGAGGCACCCGTTGTTGATCTCCCTACGTCTGCCGACTCCTAGCGGAGGCATTGAGGCCTGTTCATCCGATTATGTCGTTCGTTGCGAAACTTATTTCAAGCTAAGACACCCACCCGTCGACGGTCGTCCGACTAAGTCGTGAGCTTTGTTTGAGCGTTTTAGTAGGCTCTTTGTTGGCCATAAGGCGCCCCAAGCTTCTCCACATAGCTTAATTATAGTACCGACTAGCGGCAAGAGTTAAAGTGTTCGCTCCTTGTCAAGTTCGTCCAATCGCATCGTACTCTGGGCTTCCAAGCCCACCAGCTTTCAACTTAGTTCAACTTAGCATCCTAGTAAGAACCACCTATACACGCGATGTCACAGAGCATTCGGTTCCCGGAATCATGTTCGAGGTGTATTGCGGGGTGTTGAGGATCGACACTTGGATCTGTCCCGAAAAGATGGCATCGTGATTACATCTTTTCGGCTAATGGCCTACATCGTCAAGAAACGCCGATAGCCTCACATACTTCAGCATCATGTCTCGCCGCTCTAGAATCAATTCACCCCTTGTAAGATGTGCGCTCATACTTGCTTACTCAAAGTCATCATTCGTGTCGTGTCTTCTCGTCAAGACCTCCCTGAACATATTAAATCCAGACAACAAGTCCAGAAGGAGAATGAGGTGTGCTCGATGATTAGCAATATAGAAACAAGTACATAGTAACTTACCATGTAATCTCCCGGTCAACTTTGGAAGCAGTCTTAAGGCCCATCAAAGTACCACCGACAAAATAGGGAGAGTTCGTTCAACCTGCAAAGTATGCCCTGGGTTGTAGGAGATAGGTAAACGAGGTCTTGCGATATTAATTTTGCTAATCAACCCAGTTTACACTCCAGAAGCTGTATATGATAGGTTCGAGACTACGTAGGTATTCTGCCTGACTCGTGCGCACATGTGATGCAACGCATGCAGCACATGGCGCTTTAATATATCCTATCGCATGTGATGCTATGGCGCGGTTGGAGTTTAGTTGGCGAAAGGGTGATGGGATATGCGTCCAGTGGCGCGTTGTTGCATCTAGATTGGTGATTCTCAGGTCATCGTCCTCCTGAGACAAAAAAGGAAGACTGTATGCAGGGCAACTTGTGGGCCCCTGAAAAACTGACGGGTCAACTAAGCCCCTGTCGTGTACTGAGTATGAGACTCTACGCCAGCGAGAGCACCTGGCAATCAGGCCCCACATATCATGGACAAAAACTGGTAACTTGTCGGATCCTGCAAACTGTTGCCCCGTATGGAAGTTGTAAAAACGTTTCGCTGCTTAGTACAAGCTCCATCCACTTTCGGTACATCTGGCGGTCTTCTTCCTCTGTTGGTTGCTGTTGCTATCACCTCACGCCGCGGGTCAATTAGCTGACTAGCCGTGGGGATTGCCAACTCTAGATACCGGGCCCAAGACACACTGCTGATCCCCGACACATCCGCCGCCAAGATCTCCACTGCCGAGCCGCGATGCCTGGGTACACCGGGCCGGGTGCGAGCGCCATTAGTGTACTTCGCTCAACTTGGCTAGGGCATGCGAGCTGCTTTACTGAGTTCCCCTAAGGGTCCCAGGGGTACCATCTGAAATAAAGCCAACAATTCGCCGAGAAATTGAAAATCTAGCCCTTTTTTCACTGCATATGAGTTTTAGCTCCGGTTGTGAACTTTCCTCATCCTGCGAAAACCATTTATTTGGATCAAAGTGGCTCCTATAGTATTCAACTGCTGGTTGACTAAAATCCAAATGGCTGAATTCGACTTTAGTTTGCTTGAAAATCCGGTTTCAAATCCTTCATATGTGCACCTAATAGCTTGTTAAAGACTTCACTAATTCAGAAAGGTCAGCCACAACTTCTAAGAGCTGGAATTTGACTTTTGGGAGCTGTCGTGCTCTGACTTTCAGTAGTCGCACCATCGTCTGGGCTCAAGAGTACGATGGCTGTCTTCTTATTGGGTTTTCTTATTTTCGACGCGACTTTCCCATTCCGAGCTGAGCTGTTTTGTCGATACGGAAACCAATTCGGTGCAGTGTGACTTTTTCCTCTAAGCAGCAAGTTCCCAATGGGGTCAGCCTTTTTAATCCTTCTTCTCCTTGTGTAGTTGAATATCAAGCTAAGATCTGGTTGTTTTACAACGGGTCTAATAACGATGAAATATGGTGGATCACTTATAATGGAATTACAAGCACTTGGTCTTGGCCGGCGTCTTGCCGGAAAAACGGACCAACATCTATGGGAGTTGCCCAAGGAACCAGCCCCTACGCCGCCATCTTCACGGACACGATCTAACTCTTCTATAATGGAGCAGGAAATGATGGCACTTAGTATACAACCTGGAACTTGGGTGGAAACCACTGGAACCCGGTGGTATCTGTCGCACAACAAAGCGGAGGTGTGTTATTCCCTACAGCTTTATAAGGACTATCAGTAAACTGAGCCATTCATATCAATAAGCTTCGCTCCTTCGACTTCCCCAAGTACAGCTATCAATGGAGATAATGAGACTTATCTAGTCATGTTTTGGAACAGCCCTGACAGCGGCGTCTGGTGGGTGGTTACTGATGAATCTCAATGGCACTCACACCATGCAATGAATTCAATGGTACCAAATATGGCTCTCACGGATGGCACTCGCCCCTCTGCAGATGCCGGTGTTGGCTTGACCGTAATTTGCAATGGGCATGGCAACGACATAACCTTCTTCACCTGGCGCAACCCAGTCAACCAAGACTGCAGTTCGATCCGGCCAATTAAATCCGATATCCCTTCTATGGACTTTCACGAGGGTTCGAGTCCTTCGGTGTTTATCTCTGGAGACGGAGTTACACAGTATATCTTCTGGACTGATCCTGGAAGCAACATCCGTTTCGCGACCGACAATACTAGCAGCAGCTTTGAACGACAGCTCATCAGCCTTGAGCTGGAGCAGGTAATGCGCTAGCAAAAAGAAACGCGAGTTTCACTTTCTCTGGGAATAAGTTTTCTTTGTTTGGGCTGATGCTGGTCAAGGCTTTTGGTACTTTTGGTGCAATTCCTCTGACCTAAGGACTGCCGATGGCAAGACACCAGGAGACGTTAGAAAACATAGAATGGTTCTACTAAAGCAGAAGAGCCATAAAAAGACGATGCCGGTCAAGAGTGTGTGAAAGGAGGCAAGGCACAGCACAGTGGCTTTAGGATTCCTTGAGAATGAGCTACACTTCAAAGTCGTTGCAATCCTTCGGGAGGTTCTGGCAACTGTTTGTGTTTTTTCAAATCAAGTTGAAAATACGCGGTTACAAGTGGTGGCAATTTGGTGTGGTTTGTCGGTGATACGGAATGCAGAATGCATGGAGGCATTTGACCAGGTTTCGACGACCTACCGAGCAATTCATAGTTCTCGCAGCTCCGGAACCTGCGAGAATCTGTCGATTTGGGACCGGTTTGGAGTGATCCATACCACCCGCGCTCAGCACGCAAGACCCTATAATTCCGGGGAGAAGACACAGAGTGGAAGGCAACCTTAGGCATCCACTGGACCGTGAACTGCCCGGGCGTTAACCAGCAAACATAGGGGAGCCGCCTACAAAACTGAGAGTGGCACTGAAGTTAAAGGCATTGTTGAAATCAAGCCGTTTGAAAATTGCTAGATTAATAAGAGTCTTGAGGTCTGGGGTTGTATTGATACGTCATTTCACGGGTCATCCTTGATTCTGGTTGAAATAACATTATCCTCGCTCAGTTTCGGCATCTTGCCCCGCAGAGTTTTGTCTGTAGTCCATATTGTTAAGCGGTATGTCCTCGCCATCATCGATCTTTTTATATCCCTCTGTCCTCGACCGATACCGCTTCACGGTGTACCGAATGCCAAGTACACTCGCAATCAAAGCCATGATGAGTATTGTGCCCGATAACCAAGCTCTCCATCCACGGAGGCAGCAGGGATACAGCGACATAAAGATACCGATGCCCCATTGCAGCCACGACTTTTTCTCCCGATGATCAGGAAACAGTCTCGCCCTCACGAGCTTCTTTGTTATTGGTCCTGTTGGGCCTGAGACATAGCGTTTTAGACCAAAATACGGAACGGTCCTTTGGCGAGGATCATCATCCGGGTACTGAAAGTCCCCCCAAAGCCCAGAAAAGTAGAGAAATGAAGTGAGATTAGATCCATCCAATGATTCAGATGGGAACATACGAGTTAACTGAGAAGTAACACGGTCGAACCGGTAAAAGTATGCTGAGGAAAGAGGATCCCATAGTTGGCCTGCGTTGCAGTAGTCCCGCAATACCGCATCGTGAACATGGCCTCTAAAATTACCGATACATCAGCATAGACATAATGGTATATGGGAAGCAAAAAACATACCCGGGAGATACATAGCTCGCATGGGAGCCATAGGCGCTGTATACCAGGGGCTGTATCAACGTCAAATCCTTTATCCACATCGCGACACTCGTTCCCCAAGTCTTACCCGGTCATTATCCTTTGAGATAGCTATATCATTCCAGTCATAAGCAGAGCCGTCAGAATGCTGGCTATAATAGATCCCAGTAGGCTGTCCTTCGTGGAAGCGGACCATATTGTGTTCCCTGACGGAAGTAATCAGCAAAACGCGATGGCTTAGGGATACCATAATAGAATCTTAGTACTTACCAGTCTCCAACATGGTCCCCGAAGTGCATCCCGTCTTCAATATCATCCTCTATCAGAGACTTGATAGGCGGCAACACCTGAGTGATGTTGGCACCTCGATTGTAGGAATAGAAGTAGAAGTAGAATACATCAACATCACTCGAGCCCTCCGCGGATTCAACTAGGATGACAACACATGAAGTCGAATTATGTAGCCTGCCTAACTCGTCCGGCGTCTCTCCAAAAATCCACGCAGGCAGAGCTGTGATATCGTCGTTGGCGGTCAGCGCGACTGTAAGTCCGTCAAACCCCTCATTCAACAAGGCTAGATTGTCTAGGTCGAGCTGGGGCAGTCCCGCTATAGGTTTCGTCTGCGCCATAGGCGTAGTGTGGCCTACGTGTTGGAATATGTCTGCAGGTCGGAACAGGTCTTCTGAGTGGAGTCGTACAAGTGGTGCTGTGTTGTAATAGGTAAGCAATTTCTCGAGCATACATTGGTCGCAGTGTCACCTGGGGCAGTAGTTTCGCACCATAACGAGTCACATAATCCGGTACAATTCGATTGATTTCGTCCAATGTCGACATAACTGCGGCCGTGGTCCTATACGTACGCCGAGAGAACACAAGAGAGGACTGCGCCGTTAGCAGTAAAAACTACAGAACTTGAGGACAATAAGTGAAAAGTCGGGAGTGGACTATGCCTGCGGCCGAAATACAATTTTCGCGACTTTCCCCCCGTTCTATCGGCCGGGCGAGATTCCTAGTCATCAAAGGTTGAGATTGCGGATCACCACTAACTTCCGCCATCTGTGTTGCAGGCCCCGGAATCGGGAAGTGACAGCACGTGTGCCTGCTGCGCCACGCGTCTAGGGAGCCAACACTTCGGTGCATCCCTTACTCTATGCTTGCACTCGATCAGCGGCAGTACTTTGGGACACGAGCCAGTGGAATCAGTGAGCATGAGACGTGGAATGTCAGTTCAAAATGGATGATGTTGCAAAAATTGCACAGATGTGAGATCCTATTGGATGCATGAATGTAACGCAAACCCAGTGACAGAGGGAAAGCAAGATAAACATCGAACAGCCAACGAGTTGATGCAATCCCCTCTGCTGTATGAATCGCCCATTCGTGCCCAGTAATCAAGGTGAATGCTGGTGTTCCTATTCAGGCAAACCCTGGACATTGCTGATGGTGCGTCCAAACTGCCGCAACCCTAAAACTCAATTGACCCTTCCATTCGGATGCCTGTGGAAGTACTGCCCAGTTTTCGTGTCCAATCTCTAATGGTCATTACCCCTACTGTATCTGGATGATTTAAAGAAGACTCTCCATTTCCGGTCACCACAATGGATCACAGAACTTGTAAATGGTGGTGAATTCACCGAAAATAGGGATTTCAACGTATTGCCGTAGTTGGAAATATATGCTAGTATGGAGGAAGGAGGAGGAGCAAGTTCATTTAGTTTCTCGACCATCTTGTAG